TTTTCCTCTCGAAAAGAACGGAAAGATGAGGGAGGAACGGGAGGGATGGGGGAGAGGAGCGGAGGAGGGAGGGAGTGCCTTACCCTCCGTAAGGGCTGTGGGAGGAGCCTCTTTATGCCGCTGCCGTAGCCACCAATCACAAGGCCCCTGTACAGGCAGTACAAGCCGAGGGGGAGGGACTTAGGCTGCCTCTCTCCGACCTCATTGGCCAGTGGCCGGGGCCCTGGCCACACCCCTAGGCTCTTGATCTCTGCGCCTGACTGGATAGCAGGCTTCCTCTGCGGAAGGGAGGGGTGGGGGGGGGGGAGAGCTAATCATAGAGGCAGGCTCGTACTGATCGCGCACTCACAAACACGACAGGTGCAACACGCACGCGTGGACACACACACACACCCAACCACACACACGTGAAGGTGTGCAGGGAGGACAGCCGATGGACAACCTGCTGAAGAACTCGCCTACTGTGTTCGACCTGACTTTGTTTTGACAAATAAAGAGATGCATCTATGCTGGTGACTTGGCTAAGTTGCTCAAAGTTGATAGTATCAAAACGTAACTACAATAGAGATGGGCAGTGTCATTCACGCTGTACCTTGATGGCAATTGATTTGTTGCGTTCAATGTCTTTTTTTATATCGCAGGAAGTTACAAGATCTCATTGGTCAAAGAACTCTGTTTTTAATTCCAAAATCGACTATTGCAATTAATGTCTTAGTTATCCGCTGATACTGCTAAACAAGGCTGCTGTGTAGGTCCATGTCATGACGCTGAGATGGAAAAGCTCATCATCACATTTGAACTGTTACTAACAATTATTACATTATTGTTTCATCTGTTGATTATGTTTGGGATTAATCCATTAGCTGTTTTGTCTATGAAATATCTGAATATGAAAACAAATTTCCTAAGGCCAAGATGACGTTTGGAAATGCCATGTTTATTCTCATCTGACCAACAGTACAAAAACTCAAAGTTATTTAGATGACTTTCTGTTGGAAAATCCCCAAAAATCTAAGTTTGTACAATAATTATAGAATGTAATAATTTTCTAAATGTGCATCTTATTATCTAAAAAACCATTTATACCATAAAAATCCTCAATACATGTGTTTTTCTTAACCAGACACTACAGTTTTTCCCTCCCTACGATGACCAGCAGATGGGGGTAGAAAGCCACTGATGAGACCACATCTTCAGGACCAGCCGAGGATACACTTGAGCCAACTTGGCTGCAGCAGGAGAGCACTTGTTTTCTACTTACATGCAACCAACAGACCATTAAATCCATGTGCATGTTTGAGGTACTGACTCATAATAACTCTGCTTACATTTTGTATGCATTTACTCGGAGGTTGCCGTGGAAATCCCCAGCTTTAAATGCTTCCTGATTGACAACAAATGAAAGCAATTCTAATGACTTTCACGTCGTCCACCCTGTGACAGGTAGGGAACACAGTGACGAGTTAAAGACGGACAGAGACGGATTAGATGTAAGACACCAGTGTGTGTGTGCGTGTGAAAATGTTACACATATTTATATTCCTCTGTATGCCTGGATGTGTGTGTGTGTGTGTGTAAGATGAGGGACAGTGACAGATGAGCGGAGAAGAGCTGTGTGTCCATGGGGCAGTGAGTGATCGATCGCTGTGCCTTGCCCTCCGTGTCACCTCGGGCACCCGGCGACCTTTAGGAAGCGCAGGCGTCCGTAATTACCCGGATTGCACACACACAGTCACACCAACACACACACACACACACACACACTCAGGATGCCAACGCTGCACTGTCCACAAGCTTGAGGGATGACAGGATGACACAAAGTGGGGAACACAAACTGTGATTGGGTGGTGGTGGTGGTGGTGGTGTGGGGGGGGGGGGGGGTGCAGGTGCAGTCCTATCTCAAGCATCTGATGAACATGAATATTGACATATGTCCCTCAGACTGCCTGATACTGCCCTGAGTGAACATGTGGCTAATACTATTGATCTGGAAGTCCAATCGATCATGTTGAAAAGCAAATCTTCACACAAAATCTAAAATGTGCCGGCTGGTTATTAATACATGTTTAATCACCCTGAGACTGTCCTGCACTTCCCACAGGGGTCTCTGGGGTCTCCCTGCACACATTCAGTTGACTGGCAAAGCCATGCAGGAGCAGAGACCACCACAACACAAAGCGCTCAGACACTTTAAGAGACTTGGGCATCCACAAACTGAGGGAAATGAGATGCATGCACGCATACAACACGGTGATTGATGACAACCTCAAGCCAAATACCTGCGAAACACAAAGTGGCCACAAAGCAATGCCTGAAGACTCGTTCCTATAGCAGTCCAATGTGCCATGGGTTGGGTGATACTTTAGTTTGCAGAGACTAGGGATGTCATGGGAACTGACGCTTCCTTACTAAGTAAAAAAATGGCAGTACTTTTTTTCCTACAGTGCCACAGGTATTGAATACTACATTTCTGGTATCGTGACCCATAGCAGAGAGTGCAACAGTTTTGACCTAAATGCATTAAAATAGGGACGAAAGGGCAACATTGGCGTTGTCAGCCCAATATGAAGTGATTGGCCTAATAATGAAGAATATGGAGGATCCTGTTAGCTAGATTGGTTGGTAGGAGGGCTTTGTTCATTAAGCATGAACAGAGCAAAGAGAATCATGTGGAAATGTAGCTACTTGCGCTAACACTAGCATTCCTGTAATCTGCACTTCTATAAACAAAGTCTGCTGGTTTTTGCCTCCTGACAAAAGGCACCCTCGCTGCCATTAAGGGAGTAAATGATATGCTCACCATGCAGATGAGACACTTGTATCGGTCTCCTCTCAGAATCTGCCTCTCCAGCTCTCTGATTCGAGCCTTCAGAGCGTCCATGGTGGTAGCCGTGGAGTCCTCCTCTGTTACCCTGAGGGAGGAAGAGAGGATGAGATGTTGAGCTTTGACATTATGAAACATATTGACAGTGTAAAATGTGAAACCTAGAACCATTGACCAATCAGACCGTGTGTTCAACATTTAGTGACTTTAAGGTAAATAGATACTTTTTCAAATGAGAAAAGGGATGAACGCGTTTAATATGAAAGTAATTTGTCGTTGCGTTGTATGAAAAAGACTATTCTCAGAGGTAGGTCTATTTACTTTACATTATTCACTTAAATTGTGTTGCTGTTTTGTATTTTCTAACAGGGAATAATACTCTGTTGTGCCTTGACATTAAGCCCACTTCTTAGAAAACATATATAGATATATATTGTGTATCGCCATTCGGCCTTCAAAATATAGAGATAGGATTTTGGTCCTTTTTTGACCCAGCGATAGTCAACATGTGTTTTCAGGGACTTTTTGAAAAGTTCTATGCTAACATTGAAAAAGTTAATAAGCTAAATGTAACAATGCATTAACACATTTTATCCTTTGCACTCCCCTCTCGAATTGACTTGTTTTGACTTTAAGTAAAGTGCCCATTCCTCTTTTTCTAATATCTCTTGTTTAACTTTCATCCTTTGGATCTCCTCTCTTTTGTTTTGCCATCTATCCTCATGTCCATTCATCCCTCTCAATTTATCTCCTTCCTTCTGTTTTTATCTCCTCCCCCCCTTTCTTCATCCCTCCTTCATTCTATCCACCGTCCTACCTTCCTCTCTCTCTGAGCAGCCTCTGATTAATGTGTAGCATGATAACAGAAAATGTGCATTTAACACTGTCGGACAGCATATGAAGCAGCCATAACTAAATCAATACGGTCGACGGCAGACCACAGCGCTGCAGCTGATGATGATTTGGCGCAGCGAGACGAGGCCGCACCGTGTTTATTATAGCCATCCGCACGATGTGCGTGTTAAAATGGGACTGTGTGTGTGTGTGTGTTTATGGTGATGTGGTCATTTTGCAGCCTGATAGCTAGCTGATCTATGGTATTGATCTGGATGGGGAAGGACAAGCGGAGAGAGGGCGAGAGCGAAATAGAACGATAAGTGGCTGTGTGTGTGTGTGTCCTAGGATATGGCTTCATTTGCTGCATCCTCAAACAGCAGAGGCTACAAGGAAAGGATAACAAGGATTGACTTTCTGAATGTACTATTAAGAGACAGGTTTCCTTCAATCCATGCTTGCAATGCAATAGAAGTTAACATGAATAGATTCACATTGTATTTCCTTCATTCCTATCATAAAGCTTATTGAAATGAAACATATTTGGTTTGCAAGACCATCACCAGAATTCTATAATTACTCCAGTGTTAAGCTCAGCGACAACTCTCTAAAAACTCTGATGTGATCGACGCACATGTATTTCTCCATCTTTTTTAAAACCTTGGAAGAAAAACTAAACATTTTAAAACAAAGTTAAGGTAAATGTAATTTATTTGTACATTTTAGTTGTTGGATCATTGGTCAAATCAAGCAATACAGTTGCACTCGGTTTTTTTACACTTTCTTTTTTACTATTTTTTGATATTCATAAACGACTTAGCAAGCGAGTTTTTCTTCCTTCATGAGAAAGGTGGACCTGCTCCATCCCCTGCCTGAAGCCCACCACCGTCCTGTGTCTATAAAGGCTAAGCTGGGACTCCTAGACTGGCTGGCCGTCCCGTGCCCTATAAACTGCTTTAGCCTCTCCTCTTATTAGTCCTGAGATTGTAAAAAGCCATTTAGCCTTGATTAGCCTGCTAGCTTATAAATGGTCAGTGGACTCTGGGCTGGATGGGGGTTGTCCCTAAAACAAGGCTGTCTCTGCCTTTTAACAACTCCAATAAAGCTCCCTGTCGCTCAGTCGAGGAAAAAACTCTGCCAAGGCGCTTCCTGTCTTTGTCCGAAGTGAGTTTAAGAACAAAGACAGAAAAATAAGTTTCTGCTTTTTACCCTTTCGCCTCTCTATTAGTCGTTCTGTCTCTATAATCAAAATCTGTTTAGCAAAGGTGATTTTTGGAAAGTCGTTTAACTTCCTAATTTGATATGTTCATTTAATTTGACGTGGCTGTGGCCATTTAAACTGGGGGACAAGGAGGTGGAGGAGGGCGTTGAGGAGATGCAAAAGATTGAATGGAGGCAAAAAGGAGAACAGGATGATTTCACAGGGCCAGGGCAAGGAAAGACAACTCTCCTGGGCTACACAGAGAGATAAACTGCCTCTCCACCAGCAAAAAACTACAAGTACAAATCCTTGAGTTTAAGCTCTTTATGCTACGTCACTGATTTAAGCTGGCTCAGGGGTTTTCAAGCTTTTCAGTTTAGGAGCCAAAAATATTGAAATTTATGTCACTGGGACTCTGGCTTAGCAAACATGTCAGGTGGACTCGCAGAAACACTTCAGATCGGGTAACAACCTAAAGTGTAAGGGTGTTACAGCAAGTTTCCATGAGTGTGTGTCCCAGGGGGAGACTCACGTTATTTACACTACTTTAAAACATATTTACATCATATGGTTATAAACCTGATTTGCGAGCTTGTATGATTGCAGGTATTGGTGGCGATACAACAATACTAATGATACTATTAGGCTATTGCATGTGTAAGCTGTTGATAACAGTTCTTAAAAAGAAAGAGCCTTAGAATCTGCCAACATCTAAATCAGGAAGTTAAATGGAATTGGGTTTTAAATGATAAATAAAGTCCTGGAGTCTATGTTGAATAAAATTGCTGTACAGGAACACCAGATCTAACATTTATAAATCGTTTTATGGATATTAACCTGTATGTACTGCACATCTGTTTGGGCAGAGTGTTTGTGGGCACAGTGGGACAAAGCTCCGTCTCGGTACGTTTCCACTGAAGCCGTGGCCTTCATTTGAAAGCCTGGCGTCATAAAACTTAAAGATCCAACACTGAAATAAAACTTCCATTCACGCAACATGCTGCTACTCCAGCTCAGTTAGTGGCCCACCGGGCTATTTTGGACGGTGTGTGGGTGTGTGTGAGTGAAAGAAAGTGAAATTGCCGTGCATTTCCATCTCCAGTCAGCCCTATGGCGACAAGCAGGCAGGAGCGCCTGACAGAGACAGATAGATGGCTGCGCCTCCCCTCTATTTAGCGCTCCATCCCCAACGTGTGTGGGGCTATTTCTCATTTCATTAGTGTGTGTGTGTGTGTGTGTGTAGCTGAAGACCCTCCACCATCCATCTCAATCAGCCCCGTGTCTTAATCTACTGTCTACCTACATTTTGGCCTCACTCGGCCTCTCTGGCTCTCTCAACGCGAGCACACGGCAAATTATAAAATTAACAATTCATTCTCAAAGAAAACACAATATTCTAGGAAACATTTGATCCACCTGGTAGGGAAATAAATCTCAGTCAGGCAGGTGCTGTGAAAATAGCAGCGGTAAATCCCTTTAGAGCATCATTGTCTGCTGCACCCTGTTAACCGAGGCCTTAACTACACTGACACACCATGATAAAACATTTAAGTCACTATTGATTTCCCCTGCCCCAGCCCGATCTGTGTGTGTCTGAGTGTGTGTGAGGGTGTGTTTCTGTGTGTGCAGGTCTCAGGGGGCAAAAGGGTAGGGGATAGGGGGGGGGGTGTGTTTTGTAAGTGCCTGAGAAAAATTGAGACAGAGGACGAGAAGAGAAGAGCAATGGGAAAGAGAAAAAGAAGGCAGAAAGAGAGAGAAATGTGGCTTAGCGACATCAATAAAGGAGAAGAAGGCAGCCAGAGCTACTGGGCAGTGTGTGTGGAGGGGGAGGGGGGGGGAGAAATCTAGCTTCATCACTTCCAAATTGAGGACAGATTCAATTATTTGCAGAAACCACATGGAAATCTCTCCGCATTGTTCCAGCTGGAGCACCAAATTTGGCAGCAATCGCATTGGCGGCATTGGAGGGGCCATTTATCTTGGAGGGGAAAGAGCGTCTCAGGCGTTGCACGTGAATGTGTGTGTGTGTGTGTGTGTGTGTGTGTGAGCTCATTTATCTTGCGGGGGAATGAGCAAGGGAACAAGGACGCCCCGGGAGGCGACCAGATCATTACCCATCTGGGATCAGAGACAGAGAGAGAGAGATTTCACTAACGCTGTGCAGAGCCACACACACACCGACACACACACATGCACAATGTATCAATGTAACGAAAGGAGACAAATCTCATTTTCATTTGGGGACGGAGAGACACAGAAGCTCCACAAATACGTGCATTTATAGCAAGTGGAGAGGAGTGAGGCGGGGAATTGTTCCAGCCAGCTGACTGCCTGTTCCATTGCAATCATTCAGCATCTCGTTGGCTGGCTTTAAATGGATACTTAGATTAAGGCATGTTCTGCTCCAGGTGGCCAATAACACCTCAGCTAGAACATCATGTAGCAACACACACAGACACATTCTGGCCTTAACTAAGTCATAACGTCACATCTTCTCCTGGAAATTCTTAGGATTTAAGGTAGTTCTTGGAAATATGCTTCAGGTGAGAGTTGATGATTCCAACTAAATGAGATCTGTTCCTTGCCAGGAAATATTCCCTTACTGACATTAGTCTTAGTTGTGTATGGTCTATGGCAGGAACATTTATTACAAAAAACGGTCTTAAAGTAACTGCTTTGGAGAGAAACTTGGACTCGATGCCATCTTAAACTGTCCAACACTAGACAACAATTAGTTGTTTCACAGAAAAACAATTACCAACTTTTTCGATAATTGATTATTCGTTAATCTGGAAATGAGTTTTTCAGTCTCTAAAAAAAAGAAGCATATTTCCTGCTTTTCTCAGTTTTATATTATATTAAAGTGTATGAAAATATATTTCAAGATACCAGGGTGGACTTCGGGAAATTTGGATGCACATTTTTCATGTTTTTCTGACATTTTATAACCAATTAATTGATATATAGATATGTATATATCTATATATTAGATATGTATATATATAGAAAGTGATCGGCACATTTATCACAATGAAAATAATCCTTAGTTGCATCTCTATCCTCTACAATAACAAATAGCTTTGCAACTATTTAATGTAAACAGCACCATAGGAGGGCAACGCTTCCTCACCGACATCAATACCATGCCTACTGTGCATGTGTGTGTGTGTGCACAAATAGATCAATCAGCGCTGTTTGACCATTGTCTCTACACACACCTGCTTACATCTCACTCTCAGACACAAAGATAAACAAGGACGATCACAGCACGAAAAAAAAAGAAACTTCAAATGCAACACACACACACACACACACACACACACACACACACACACACACACACACACACACACACACACACACACCACACACACACACACACAACACACACACACACACACACACACACACACACACACACACACACACACACACACACACACACACACACACACACACACACACACACACACACACACACACACACACACACACACACACACACACACACCAATCTGCTTAACACACACACTGCAGGGCTGTTTCTGATCAATAAACTTCAAGCTGCTCTGCTTATTCACCAGTTATCCCATCTGCTGATATTTAATATGGGTAACACACACACTGAGGATTGATTCATCTAAATGAAGCATTTAGCGCGTGCCGTCTCCCCAGGGCTGACGGGAAACATTCTTAATAAAGGAAAGCTATCTAAATGGCTATTCTCAAAAGTAATGTTTTTAGTAAATATACATTTAACACCTTCCTTAATCGTATTATGTCATTGGATTCCTGCTCTGTTAGCCACTGCAGCTTTGACTGAGGTTTCCAATAAGAGGAAAAACAACACACACACACACACACATCATTCCCACCTTTACATTTTGCCTGAGGAAATGAAACTGAAAGCGGGAAAGGTTAGGAAAATGAGATGAGAGGGGGGATTTTTAGGGGGTATTCTAAAAAGGCACTTTGGGTGGACAAAGGAAAACACTTTAGGAAATAGGGTCTGGGATGGAAGGCAACAAGCAGACTGACCCCAGCTCAGTGTGTGTGTGAGTGCGTGTAATCGCACGGGGCAAAAGGACAGGAGAATATGCCAGACATGCAGAAGCAACCAATCAACCAAATCCCTCTTTCTCTTTGCTCGCTTGCCCACTGACGTTTCTCTCTCGCAATGAGCTGACCTCTATTGCCCATGCGGGGGACAGGGTGTGTGTGTGTGATTGTTTGCTTGTGGCAGAATATGGATGAGGAGATGGAAATGAGGGAATTACAGAGCGCTGGCCTTTCACACACACACAGGGTGTTCTAATGGATAGGGCAGTGCTTGTCAGTGTGTGTTTGCAGCACAGCAAGGCGAGGGGGCTTTTTTTGTTCTGTCCAATCCAGCATCAAGCTGCAGTCATATTCACATGACAATATGACATCATTAGAAGTGTTTCTTCTAAGGCTGAATTGCTAAACCTGGTATTTTGTCAGTTAAAGTACTACTCTTTTTTGATAATATAGGTTGACTGAGTCGGCTGCAAGGCTGTAATACTGTTCAACCAGTATTTTTGAAACTTGAATTGGATTTGCTTTTTTATATAAATACGAAGAATCATTTGTTGGGTCCTTTTTTTTGTGCTAAATTTAGGTTGGGGGAGATCTGCAACATCGAGACCGTCGACGTCTGTGTCGTTTCTGGTTCATGGCCTACTAGAATACGAAAATATAATTCAAATGCACACTGACTGACCAAATAAACTTTTATTTCTGGCTAAAAACGGGTGACAGTGTTGACTTAAATTCTGATTCAGATACATCATCTATAGTGGTTAACATGCAGAGTCTCTGAATAACAAGTGATTGTTCACACATTTATTCATGTAGATGGCTGTGTTAACATGGGCCGGACATTTTTATTTTAATATGTTTGGGTAATAGTTCATAATTTTGATCACTGTGTGTCATTAGGGTCATTTGTTTTCCCTAATGTCTGCCTCCAATCTATGAATGCCACAAGTGTGATGTTCAGGGTCCAATCTTATCTCACTGTATAAGCGGTGTTGTTGTGAGATAACATTAGCATCTTTTCACACTGCTGCCTTCACGAGTGTGTCCCGTATCTGCTTGTGTCTATGTCGCCATTAATGATTCTAAGTCAGCTCTGAGGGGACACAACTGCAGGAAAATCAATACCTGGAGACACACTCGTAGTCACACACGCACCCAGGAAAAACAGAAACCACACAAATTGCATAATTTATGACCGTCTACAAGTCGACTCTCCCACAAGTACGAAAACTCATCACAAAGTCATAGAATCACAGAGTGTGTGTGTGAGACGTCTGATATGACGATGGGAAACGTGACAGTCGTTTCTGCCTCATCTTTAAAACTAAATCACAAAGCGTGTGTGCACATATGAGTAACCTACTTTTCGATCTCGCTGTTTTTACAGGTGCGCGGGGCGCAGGAGGAAGAGCAGGAGGATGAAGGAGTGCCGGGGTCTGTCTTGCTGCTTTCTCCGTTGCTTGTTGAAGGCATCTCTGTAAACACAAACAGGAGGCATGGTTAACACTGGACAACAAGCTTCAATAAGCATTCAACAGCTCAATGCTACATTCCTAGAAACTGTCAAAATTAGTAGATAAAGTGAAACGAATATATAATAATGTACTTTATAAATACAAGACTTCATTTGACAAGGTTCCAAGGACAGAAAAAAAAGGCAGTAAAAATGAGAATAAGGCTAAAGTACACAAGAGCGCGAGACAATAAGAATCCCCAGCTCTGGGGAAAAAAGGATACACCACTATAATTACATTCTTAATACACTTCCTCTAACTTTAAACTATTGTGTGTCTCGTGTGAATACCACCCTATTCATGGCATCTTGGCTTTGTGGCTCTTAAATTGATTAACTGAGCTCATGACTTGTGGTAAATGTTCCACCTATTGAATGGGGGATTTGTTTGCTAATAAAACGTATGGCATTTTTGACAATGATCTATCTTTCCGTGTGAGTAAGTATATACACTTTATATGAAGTCCTACAATACTAAACTCTTAATACATTTGTGAAATGAAAATCTTACCGTCGCTGGCCCATTTGGAGCATTCAGGCGTTATTCTGTTAGAAGGCATCCCACCGCTGCAACACAGAGACACAAGAGTTAGTATGAACGTAGCCTTTAGGGTGCATTCCATTAGCCAACATTAGTTAACTCTGCTAGCTCTTTGTTAAGGTTTCGTACTTGAGCACGGCCCCCCGTAGCGCCTCCCTCTCCCGGGCCTCCCCCTGGTCCTCCCCGGCCCCGGAGCAGGGGATGATGTCGGCCTCGGTGTACTGCGCCTTGCCGTACTCCAAGGTGTCGTCTCCGTCCACGTCTAAGTCTGCGTCGCTGTCTGCCGTGCTCTCCTTGACGCTACACGTGGCGAAACCAGTTCCTGTGAAAGTAATTCAAGACCATTTTTTAGGATTATTTATATTTCACATCACTAACCTTGGAAATTGTGTGTGGGAGTGTGACAGAACATTGGTCCCAAGTGCTTTGATATATTGAAAAACTGGTGATCAGCTGAATTTTGAGCCCACATTTAAATAGTACAATCCCACAGCTAATCACTCGTACTCCAACGCAATGCAGTGAGGTTTGTTCTAAAAGTTATTGAATGAATTACATGCTAATTGCTGCTCAAAAAAGCCCCAAAGTGAAAAAACACTGTTATTGTGGCACATGAAAATAGCAATGAATAGAAAAATCAAAACACTGTTTTATTTTCAAATATTTGTACATACTTAATACATTTTTTATTACGTATTTTTATCATTACGTATAATTGTATCCCTTAGCTGAAATATGGCTATAATTTACTTTTTTAACTACACAACATAACTAAATTCACTCAGTGGCACCCCAAGCATTCCCTTTTAAAGTTATGACTGCGTTGTCCTCATCTCTTGATTCCACTAGGCACATTTTACAGGTCTAGCAAAATACTTTAAAAAAAGGGCCTCAAACTTCTTCCTGAGAAACTTTAAGATCTTAAATTTAGCTCAGTTAAAACTTTACTTTTTCCTTTTCCAATTACAGGTCTGTAGATGGGAAAATATTTGGTCAGAAAGACAGCGTTCAGACATGGGTGAACTGATGAAGACTGACACCTCGCCCATCAATCCCTGAGAGAAAGAGAGGGCGAGTGTGTGTGTGTGTGAGTGGCACTTCTATAAACCCAGTGATGAACGCTCAGACAAACCCTCACCGCTGCCTGACTGCTCCCTTCAGCTCCACTTAGCCACAGAGCTGGCTGTGTGTGTGTCCGTCACTTAAGAGGCGTCTCCTCAGTGTTTGTTTGAGACCGTCTGTCCCTCTGTCACTTAGGCCCCTTCTCCCCACACCCTTGAAGGAGTGTGTGTGTGTGTGCATGCAAGTGTGAGTCAGTCTACCTGTCACTTACTCATGTCTATCTACCACGCATAGGTAGGTAAGGTGTGTGTGAGTTACTATTTGAGCACTTGCAGGTGGGTAGGTGTGTGTGTTTCACTTGAGATGTGACTCTGAATGTTTCTGTGTGTGTGTGTACCAGTGACAGGCTGACAGCCATCTTATTTACACCTATCCCAATTTCTACAAGCTCTTAGCTGGACTAGTGTGCTCTGTGTGTATGTGACAATTGTGTGTGTGTGTGTGTGTGTGCATGGCACCAGATAGAAGCTCGACACCATTGACAGCCATCTTATTTAACCCCCCTGTCCCAGTATGTGTGTCTCGATACTTGACTCCCTCTCAGTGCACTACACTGTTTCACTGCAGTGTGGCGTCTTTGTCAAAGTGCAAATCAGCCGCTCTAAGACTCGTCTTGGAGGAGATTTAAACACCTGCTCCTCCTCCTCCTTAACTGCAGAATTCATTTCACTCTTACTGTAGAAAATCATTTTTAAAATGAGGAGGGAGGAGAATGAATGTGAGTGTCGAACGGTAAAGCCAGCAAGATAAAACGCGCCACCAATGCTAAGCTGTTTTACTACAGGGGCCATGGTTTTTAGTGATCAAATAAAAAGGACCTTTTAACTTTTATTTGGTCTCCGCAGCAGAAGGGATCATATGGTAACAATGGGCACGCAGTGTAAATCTCTGCTCCGCTCGGCTACTGAGGCTTTAGTTACTCAGGGCACAGCAGAAGGTGAACAGAGCACGTGTCACATTATAGCTGGTTGAACTACATTCCTTTTTTAGCCTTTTTTCACTGGCAGATTTTCTAATCGCTAATTAGTTTGGTTTGCTTAGGGTAAAGTTCTGTGTTTCAGGGAACTGCGTTTTATTTCTGACCTTTACAAGTTGTATTACTGACCTGTCTTTCACCTACTACAACCTTTTGTTGACGTATGAGGTCCATACTTAGGTTCACACATGGAGGTAGGACCAATGTTCTCTGGTCTTTTTACATTTAACCTTAAGCCATTCTACCCAGAATGCCTTTGTCAGAAAGGTTAGGTACCAAGCTTTGAAAGGCAGGCTTCTTATCCAGCAGATGTACATGAGAGTAAAACAGATATCCTTTACTGCAAACCACCAATGCTTTAGTGTGTGTTGTGGTGGTTGGGGCATAATCTGATCAACTGATTTCACTATAGATCTTGTGGCTAGTTAGCCACAATAACTGGCTTCAAGAATTGGAACTTGGGCATGTGGGTAGAGGTTTTTCCAGATGTTGCCTCAACCTCAAAGCCACAGAGATGCTTCAAAATCTGTGCTTTGATCATAAACCCGACATAAGTGGATCCATAAAAACCTGTAGCCTGAGGGATTATTAACTTTACAGGTTCTGTACAGGACTGATCTGAGCATCAATTATGGGTCTAAAATACAGTTGAGAATAAATAAAACAAAGCACAAGACAAAGACTTTTAAACTAACTGGGCAAATATACAGTAGTATGTCGATGATTTTGGGTCTGTTTATTTAGTTAATTTAATGGTTGTGTGAGTTAGTCTTTTAACTGTTCTAAGAATAACCATGACTGCTTGGATGAATTTATGTGTTTCATATTTCTAACTGAAACTGTGGCCTAGGTCGGGATGCCGCAACACACAGAATTGCACGAATATATCTTCAATAGCAGAGGTTGACCAGTTGGACTATTTTTAAATATCGCCCAAACCTTAAAAGATGGATATGATGTGTTATTTTCTTACAGATATGTGGCCTATTTTAGCATAGACAAACTGTACATGTCTTAGGTGTTTTAAATGTGAGCATATGTGTGGCCCGCTGTGTGTGTGTGTGTGTGTGTCGGTGCTTCTATCTGTCCCTCTAAGCAGTCTTGGCAGGCCAATCTAATCTGGCCAAGGAAAGGTCAGCCCCACTCTAACTGCCTTTCACTCACATTATGCACCCACATCCCCCCCCCCACTTTCCTTTTTACCCCTCCACCTCTCTTATTTATTCCTCACCTTATTTCCCCTCCTTTTTATGTCATCACTCCTTTCTTACCTTTATACTTTCGCATTTATCCGACGTATCCCCTTTCTACTAATGTTCCCTTCCTTGTTTTTTTGACAGTTCTCTTTTACCACGTTTATTTTTCTCTCTACTCCTGTATCAATTGTTCTCTTTCCCCCCCCTCTTGTACCAGTTTCCTCTCTTTTTCCGCTTGACAGGCGTGATCAATAGACACACTTCCCGACTCCTACAGGGCCATCCTGGTCTGCCTCATTATCATAACCATCTCCTGAATACCGGTGACTCTTAACATGCTAACTACATGTTTTATCCTCTGATTTACATGTTTGCAACAGCGAACACACTCAATCTACACAGGTGTCACCGCAGCGCTGCTACAAGTCAAGATCTGAGGAGGCAGGCGGGATCAAAGACTCATCAGGCTGACTGACAGCCCGGATCAACCAATCCACCGACCTCGCAGACATCCCGTTACCATAGCAATTATCTGGACCCTCTAAGAAGCAGAGAGGAGGAGAGTCAAAGGTCATCGCACTATCTTTCTGCCATTTACAGGTCAGAGAGAGAGAGATGGGCAAAGGGACACAGACACAAAGACATGAGACGGCCATCTTTGAAGTCCATTTACAAAGCGCAGATTTTCTCCTCTCTCTCAATCCCTCTGGGCCATCTCATCCTGCAGTAATCCCCCTCTTCTCCTCCTCCGTCTCTCAGGACGGGCTGATATCAGACCTCTGGATCTGTCTGCCTCCCTGTCTGCCTTTCCATCTGTCTGCGGATAAACTCACAGATCAACCACTCTGTTCAATGCCTGGTAATGCCAATGGAAAAGCAGTAGAGAACCAAATATGAATAGGAAAAAAACTTAACAAAAAATATGTTGTATTCAGATTTATTCATTCCAGCCAAAATGTTCATAATTGATTACTTGGGGAATTTTATAAAAGTATTGCAGTTATTTGCTGGATATCAGGAACTTGAACTGCTATTGGACAATATAACACTTTGAGCACCCCATTGGGCTCTGGAAACGTTGTACTGAATCTGAAAGTATTCCCTGGCATTGTGCTTTCAAAATGATTCCAAACATTGTGAAAGAACAAAAGTGTCTATTTGCAGATCTGTCAGAATGTCTTTTTAGCCTTGTTAAACTATTCTTTAAATATTTCCTCATTGTAATCTACATTTATTGTAGTTTAAACTATTTTATTAACGTTCACTTTTTTGTGGTGCTTGATTGAAGACAAATAATGAGAACAATTGATTTGATATGAAAATAAGCTCTCTTATCGGCGCTAATATCAAAATAATTCAAATGGCACAATCCAAAGTGCATGACATTATGATGAAAACTTGGGCCATATTTTTATAATGTATCCCGCAAGGTTAAGAAGCTAAATCTAGTTGCTTTCCGGCTCATAAAACGGACACTTGGACCGACAGACAGTCCACTAGACAGATGAAGAAGGCTCTCTGTCTGAGCTGAGGCTCCTTTCAACCTGGCTAAGCCGGTGCGAGACACAGGGAAGTCTTCCCTCACACAGAGTTGAATCATAAACGGATCTTGTTCGATTTTCCTCCCTCCCTCCTCCCCTTGAAAGGGCCCCGTTCCCTCTGCCTTTCTTCCTGGCGCTCTCAAAGGGAGGGAAGGATGGTGGCACTTCACAGAGGGATAGGCCCTCTCTTCATGCCACCAGCTGAGGAGACCCCCTGCAACATCTCTGTGTCCGTCTGGCCCATGCCGGCCCTCCAGAGCCTGCCCGATTCAGCGGCGAGTGTTAGAACCACTGAGGAGCTTTCAAGACAAAATCCACCTTCTGAGCCCTGAGCAGAGTGTGTGTGTGTTTGAAGTGGTTCTCCCCAGGCCACCGCAGTTATATGTGTCACATCACAAGGCACCCTATTAGAGAGCGGCAGAAGGGTCCTGTGTCTGCTCGCTTTAACGACGTGAAAGAGAGACGGAGCGCCGGGGAGATGGATGGCCACCTCCCACCCTGCGAGCTGTTCTTTGGAGCGCTACAGTTGAGATTTCAACATTGATCTGTCTTGTCTCCTCGGCTCTCTCTCTCTGGCTTGCAGGTGAGGCTCAGCATGTGTGTGTTTAACAACGGATCGAACAGGCAGAGCTGGAAGGGGACAGATGAAAGCCGAGGCAGAGGGTTTGAAGGAGCCTCTCAGAGATGACAACGGCTCTTTACCTCCATCTGTGCACATCTTGAGGGTTTGCCTCCACCGTTGTTTTTGTATCCACATATTACACATAAACACACGTGAGGCCACAATGGGGGGCACAGTGCGGAATAAATCATCTAACCCAAAAGTCAAAGTAGATACATTTATCTTTTGGGCTTGGGTTTTTAACATATTATAGGCAAAGTGATGAAATAAGGAAATAGTAAGTATATATATAATCTATAATGAAATTATTTGTAGCTCTATTTTGCGCTCCAACAGGAACTTATCACTGATATATTCTACAGATTTTCCAAACAATAAATCTAAAAACTATAAAGACATTAACCAGTTCATTATAAAGCATAGGCTGCAGCACTTTTAATATGAGTAAAGAAATATGTTTCTCCATTCTGGTCTTTGGGTGAATCAAGTATATACAGTATAATGTATTTAATTAAATCATTGTTGTACTACTTGCTCAAACAAGTTAAGCATAAGAACATTAAGTGAAATGAGTTTGGCTAAACATAAAATCACAAGTTTGAAAAATGTGAGGAGCAGAAATGTGACAGAGAGCTATCAGTATGTGTGTGTGTCACAGAGCAGCCGTGCTCCCCAGTGACCAGCCCTCCCATACAGCTCCATAATTGCATTTCTGGGCACACACCCATACACACACACACTAGTGACCAGCAGGTCAATTGCCCAGCTGAATGTGTTTTCCTTCCCCTTGCTAAGAGGGTTGTGTAGGGCCGGGCCAAGCTCAGCTGGGCTTGGCCGGACCCCCACTCCCGCGGGGCGAACCTGGAATTCCCCTCAGAACACTGCTGGCACCATTGTGGCTCCCTGGTCCCATTCAACACAGCTGACAACAGACTCAACACTGAATTGCTGGCTAAAATGTGTAAGAAGGGGAGGTTTGAACTGAAAGGTAATTACACCAATGATGGCTGAAATATGTGGAATATTTTAAAATGTGAATGCGTAGAAAGGACTTCAAAATGCGTGAAAAAGTTTACAAATCGTAAAACCATTAGAATGCAGAGTGTTCCCAGAATGTCAAATATGACTAAAAAGGTTTAAAAGCTATGAATTAGAAAAGCTAGCATGCATGTCCTACATGAGCTAATGGTGTTACGATGTTTGAAGGAAGTGGTTGTGTTGGAATATGTGAAGTGTGCGTGCGTGTGTTTGTACCTCTGAAGCCTCCTTCCAGCAAGGCTGTGGCTCTGATCCTCTTCTGCCCCGCCCACTCGTACTCCTCAAAGCCCCGCCCATTTTCTCCATCTGCAGAGTCATCGTCGCCTAGCGTACCCTCACGCTGACACACAAACAAACGGACACATGTTAATGAAAGCAAACATTTCACACATTTGGTGGCACTTTGTTCTTGAAAAATAGTGGTGAGGTGTAAGAAAGGCCAGATGTCCATAGGACGCGTTATCTGTACTATACCATGAGCAGCTGTGATGAGCACTACTATTGTTCGTTGTCAATACAACAAGAATACATTTTGTTTATCTAAACAACATGTTTTCATAAAAACGACTTTAACCTAGCAACTTATTCAGTGAAAGCTCCTACTACTTCCTTCTTCTGTTGGGAGGAATCTTCTGTGCCATGTTATACCTTTTTGTTCCTATACTCAATATGTTTTCAACAGGACGTAGGCTCAGCTTTCTCTGCTTTAAAATAAAAGGCCTTTCCATCTTGGAACAGATTCAAATAAATGTTCTGTTTAGCCAAAAGAAGGCTTTTTTGTGGCCAATTTAACCTGCTGTTTTGGACTGAAACATGTCACTAGTTTCAGTAGAATAAGTAATAACAAACCGCTCACATGGCATGGTACAGCACTTTAACGCCTATAGTGCAAAAGAGTTATTAGTGATTCTACAGCTAGTGGAACAGAGAGAAGGCAGTGGGGTGAGAAACAAGTGGATTAGAGGTTAGTGGTAACGATTTGTTGTCTTTTTCGTGTATTCTAGGAAAGAACAGAACTGCTGAGCATCTACAGGAAAGAATGACTGGAGACCAAGTTGGACATTAAAGGCTGTCGTTGGGGTGACATCTACATAAAAGAGAGAGAAGACTTTTAAAGTCTCCCTGCTTGGGCTTCATCTTCAGCAAGCATAGGCCAAATTGGTCCTCGTCTACAGATATGAAAGAGGTAACTGATCATTCAGGAGATGCATGCCAATGGATAAGATGCAAACTTGTCATATGGGATAAACCAAAGCCTTTAGTTTAAATGTTGTGTCTGCTTTGCAACATCAGCATTTAAGACAGGTTCATATTGTAACTTCAGCATATTTAAACTTCAGCATGTAATTCACTAATTGGATAGAAGCCAGCGATCCACATTCATTGTAATAATGGTGGTAACATATATTTAATGACGCAGGTATTGCTCTCACTAAAATGACCACTATTCCAGTTGATTTGCTATCGCACTCTTTGGAATGATCTTTTTGGGACTTATGTGTAGAACATTTCTTAATGGCAGTTGATAATGCATTGCTGTGCACTCGCTTTAAGTTTGCCATAGCAATTTGCACTCCTAGACCGGTTTTTAATGTGAAAACTATTTAACCTACAGTAAAAAATATTGCTTTGGAGTACATTTACCCGAAATCTATTCCAAAATGGCATTGCAGTGCAACTTTTACGCAATAACAGCACCAGTATAGAATTGACATCGGACTGAAAAAGTGATGCACAATCACTGCATCTCTAGATTAGTCAATGGTCAAGTCTTTCAGTTAATCCCTTATGATGAGAATGCAGAACCACCACGTAAAGGAAGTTAGGAGGTGGTTAATATCTAAAGGAAGTCGAGTTGCTATTGGTTGGCATCTACACTAATCTACAGAAGTGATTGGACAGCATCTACAGGAAGAGAAGGGTTGACAGGCTGTCCCACTGGTTTCAAGGCCAAGAGTGTACTACCTGGATCAGGCATTGTTCCACATGTCTACTCATATCTTCCTCGCTCCCAGCCAAGGGGGCGCTGCACAGCGGACATACCTGGCCGCCCTCCTCAGGCTTCCTCCTCTTCATCTTTCCTATACGTGCTGGAAATGGACAGACAAGGGAGAGAGACGGATACAGATTTTAATGTCAATGTTTATAATCACGTGAAGGGTTAGTACAATTCAAGCACTTTCAAGGTACCAAAAAACAAAAAGTTCCAGACTTTCAAGCCTTTATTATATAATCTGGATTGTTAATACGAGTATACATTTACACTCAATCAAACTTATTTAAAAAAATCTTTTTACCAGTTATTCAACAACGTTAAATGTATGTTATGATTCGGTTAGGTCATTTAATGCTTACTTATTTGAATTGGACCTCATTGGACTTATCTAGCTACGAAGTACTTTTGTATTTATACGAGTGATGTGTAGATGAAACAACAGAATATGTTGAAACTTCAATCATTTTTCAAAGGATTTTTCTTCAAATTCACGTACATTTCTAACTTTAATTGTTAAAATGAAGCATTTTTCCGACTTTGTAAGAAAAAAATATTTGTGTTGGATGGATGTTCCTGGATTGGATATGCATTGTAATATAGCTGCCCTTAATTCTCAATGCTTTAAGTCCATAAGGCTGAGAGGAGGCGGAGCTAAACTTGGCCCCTTCTGAAATGTGTTAAGACAGAAATGACAAGACGTGACAGTCTCAATCCCCCTTCCTCCTCTCTACATCCACACCATCCCTCTCCTCTTGGTTCCTCCCCTGCCCTCCTGTCACAGCTTCCCCCCCACCACACACACATTTAATTAGAAATTTAACAGAGCAGAACAGCCGTCATTGCGCCCCGAGTCTCTGTCGTTTTTTCTTAACTGCAAATGGCGCGCAGGGACATTAATTTTTAGCTGGGTGGGAAAGCAGAGGGGGCCAAAAGGGACATAAGGAAATACAGAGGATGGAGGGAGCGAGGCTGAGGGGTTAAGGAGAGAAACGGCCTCCTCCTCCTCTCCTGACGCTAATCGAGGGGAGCGTTGTTAAATAGAGAAGGGAAGGGGCCGCTAATTAGGTCCGGCAGGGATCTCTGCCCCCCCTCAGCCGTTATACCCCACATGAGAATGATTCCTGGTTCCACATGAGGGCGGAAAGAAAGTAATGGAGGGCGAAGTTTAAACTAAGTCTCTTGTCATGGGCGTCAAGTGTAAAAGGCTGAGTTATCTGCGTGTGCCCTGAGACTAAAAACAGCACAGTTCTTAAAATAAAGACAACATCTGATGTGTTATATTAATGCTTTTTGGTTTGACAAAGCTAAGTATTGACTGTACAGGTGGACATGGGTGACTGACTAAAGTTGACAGGTTTTATTCAGTAGCATGAAAAAGAAAGTCAGCTGACATCTTTGTAATCACTTCTTAAAACTCATTAGTTAACAAGCCTTTAACTAATGATGACACCACTCTGTTTTGCTCGACATCCATGTTCCACTTGTTTTGACTTCCTTTTTTTGTATTACTGCTGCTTTTGTTGAAAAACTGTGTGTGGGTTTGGGGAACTTTGAACGCATGCTCTGTTGCTGCCTGATCGACCTGTTTTTAATCCATGTAAAGCACTTTGTGAGGCTGTGTCAATTAAGTTATTATTATTTGTGTTAACATGAAGGAGTATTTTTTTCTTTCTTCAGAAAAGAAGATGCTTTGCTCTGTGACACACCGTGAGTGTGTTTGTAATAATTCATGAAAAAGTAAAAACTGGAGCCACAGTTGTCTGTCATGTGACTTCACTAATGAGTAATGATAGATAACCATCATACACATAAGTAACATTGTATCATTCGTTTTTTAACTTGTTTTGCAATCATCTCCTGGAACTTGAATGCTAAATATAATAAATGGATAAAATGCAATATTTTAAATTAAATAATTATTTGTATTCATTTTATAATGTGTCCTTTCTCATCTGTAAAATGTCTGACACTGAAGTACATTTAAATATATATTTTTGGAAATCCATCACCAAAAACAAACCAATGCAGACAAAGTAAATGATGAAAACGACCTTAAAATGAAATGGAGCCATATACAGTATATTATTAAGCCACATTAAGAAGAATCAAGACGCTGTGTGTACATACCATTCAATCTTGTTTGCCTGTTTGCTCGAACTCGTAAAAACGTCTGCAGACAGAGAGGAAAGAAGAGGGAGGAAATATACATTAGATAATAAATAAACAATATAACATGTTTACAAGTATGATAATAACTTTTCAGAATGGGATTGCTTTGGATGCTGAGACTGGGGCACTGTAAACAAACCTACATGTCTAGTGATCTCCACATCCTCCATGACTCTGAGGCTTCACCCTCAGCTCATTCTATTGCCGCCAAAACTCACGGCTGCAAACGACCAAAGTGTGTTTCCAGATACTGTTCATCACTGCAAACTAACGCCAGTTTCTACAATTTAATACGGATGGAAAAGGATTGAAAGTGGCGCTTCGAGTCGGCAGATTCTGCTCATGTCCGACGCCATGTTGGCTTGTTTTGATCACGTGACGCTCTGGGGACGGAAGTGAGGAAACGTCACATGTTGTTCCAGATATCAACCGCTAGGGGGAAGCAACGAGTTTCTTTAAATGCTCTTTTTATTATTGGGGTTAAGAGTTTTACATAGCCTGCACATCTGTTATACTCCTGGAGGACTGTTTATTAAATATAAAAAATAAGGAATACAATATTTTACTTTAAGATATTAGCTTGGCAGTGGTAACTTATTAACATGTTGAGGTTCTTGTAGGCTACTACTAAAGCTAGCTGAGTAGCACTTGAAATGTTTTGGCTCTATGAAACCTGATGTACTTATATGATTCTGTCTTCTTCAAGTTTGTATCTTCTTGGTCAAATGCACTTATTGTAAGTCACTTTGGATAAAAGCGTCAGCTAAATGCAATGTAATGTAATGTAATGTACTAAACTTGATTATTTCCATGTTGTGTGAGATATTGTAGACATTGTCTTGGAAGCCAGTATTGTATTTTTTACTTCACCACATTTAATTAATTTATATATTAATAACTGTGAGGAATATGCAGATATGAGAAAGGAGAAGGAGAGAGAATAAATAATACAATAATAAGAATGTAGTAAATTGAACCACATAAATAAATAATAAAAACAAGAACAGTAAAACTATAAAAAATATTGTTTCAATTATATAAACTTTTTCTCATATCTTATTTTTTATATTGTATTATATTATATCCAATGTTGAATTATCAAATGTCAAATTATCAACAAGACAGCGCTTTTTTGCAATAAGTGAAAAGCCAAAACCTGTTGAGAACAACTAAATTAATCGTTTATAATGCATTGTATTTTTTTAAGCCTATCACATGTAGTTTTAATAATTTAATTTAAATCTGCAAATAACATTGCAGTGAAAACTTGTACAGTAGAAGTATACATTAGGGAATAAGGTGTGTAAAAGGAACTCAAAACTGGCCGCTTTGGAATGAAATTTAAGTCTACACTTATTTAAATTAACGTGGAATATTTGGGGTCTCGGGTAGTTCAGGATGCCTGGGGTGAAATTCCCCGTATCATTACCAATAATGGTCTTATCATATAAAGTATCGCATTGGGAAATACATTAAGTGAGGTCAGATCTCCACTTTTGTCTTGCGGAATGTGCACCTCGGGTCTACTGGGATTCAAAGACAGAGGCCTGTACGTCTATAGCTTTATGCTGACTAAAGCATCCCACTCGCAGTTATAGATGCCCTCTCTTTGACACGGGAACAGTGAGCAGACAGCAGTCAGGCCTTCTTCTGTTCTAGCCCTCCATCCATCTCCACACTCCTTCCCTCTCTCCCCTATCCTCCCCTCCCTGCTGCCTCTTGAGTTATTGGCCCACTTGCCTCGCGTGGCCGCCACTACTACCGTATCATTATGATACACTCACTGAATGGCTGCTGATAGGTCAGGTTTTTAGAAGAATGGAAGAGAGAAAAAGCACTGACAGGCAGAGAGAAGGTGGCAAAGTCTGCCATTATGCTTCATTTTCAGGGTGGTAAAAAGAGTCACCATTGACTTAATCATTTGTATAATATAAGGTGATTTCAGCAGTTTCACTTAATGAGAAAATCTACTTTATTGCTATAAGGTCTTTATGAGCTGTGTCATCCTGATCGTATGGATGTAACGTCTGTGTGGACTTAATAGTTCGTATTTTATGGTGTAAGGGGGGAAACCCACTTAACCCGGAGATACATCATCGCCAGAAGAATTACCCGAACAAACTTTGATGAATTTAAGAGATAAAAGCAGTCATGGTGGCTCTCGAGACATGTGAGATTTAAAGGGATTGGCCTGTTGGTCAACCTAACTGCTGATAAGGCATGGGAAATCAAAACCTACCATGATCCTCTGCTGCTACACTGTAATACATCTGTCTGATGGAATTCACTTTTATATAAAATACAGGAAGTCTCAGGGTTTGCTACATAGTTAAATAATTGTTGAGGATGAACGGATTAGCCAGATTTGTGAAATGTTGTGTGAGAGAAACAGAATATATCATCTCATTTTAGAACATTGGACAGCAAGTATTAGAACCCCGTATTGAGCAATACAATGCAGCAGACCTGTGTACTGCGTATCATATTTTTCTCCCTAATTCACACTTTGAATCTCTTGGTATACCTTTTTATAAACATTATGACTGGAAGTAGCTTTATCTTTGTCCAAAAAGTGCCCAAGAAAAAATTACCTTTGACACCGTCCATTTAAATAAATGCAAATTGTAAAATGCGCTAACTTCCCATATTAGTGGATCATATGAAATGTTAGAAAAATATCTAACAATTCCAGAGTGTGTGTGGTGAGTATGATTGACTTAGTGCTGTGGTTTAGTCCTTGTGACTACACTATGGTTGGATATTGGTACAGACAGTAAAGATTAGTGTAAACGTAGACAGTGAGCGTGACCTGGTATCTGTCGGAGTGGTGGGCGTCTTCAGAGGACATGGGCGAGACCACTGGAGACTCTCCCTCACGCTTGATGTGCACCGACAACAGCATTGACTGAAGAAAGAGAGAGAAAGGGAGAAATAAAATGTCTTCTATATGCAGATGATCCTGTTATATTATCACCTAGGAGCAATGATTACAGCACAACCTGTCCTCGCTTGACAGGTGTAGCAGGGGAATAATCAATAAGCATGTACAAGAGTAAGGCTGTTTCAAAAAATAAATATAGATCAAAGAAAACAGACACCATTTTACTGTTGTAATACGGCCTCCTACACCTCAGCTTGACAATATGATCTTTAGTTTTGAATGATTTAAAATGTGCCTAAGTTCCAAAAACAACAAACGCAACATCTAAATAATAGATATGTCGTTAAAAGAAAATGTGCCGGATGCTAAAAGTGTGTAACAGTTAAAAGGTCTGTTGACGTGTAAGTGCTACATTTAAAGAAGGCTGGGCAATACGTTACATTATTGACATCGGGATATGAAAGTATACTGTATGTATTTTTACATTCTGGGTATCTTAATATCGTATATCATTTCTTATTTGTTTTAAGTCATTTTCTGAATTGATCAGGCTTTTCTAACAGTTCAATTGTTTCCCAGCTTTACTCTGAAGACCATAACAGTTTGGGACCAACTACACCCCAATGAATGTAAATGATATTTTAACCTTGTGTATCAAATGATTAAATACCAAAAATATACAAATAAATACAGTTTATTTCTGTATTATAGTCCTACACAGAAACAAAATCTGGAGATCTTTACCCTTGGAGATTTAAAATGGTGTTATTGCCTCAGCTGCTGAGAGCTCCACGTCATTGATGATGACTGTAACCTGCCTGACTTTGTCCATAAAGTCCCTTCCACTGATTAGAGTTAATGTTTATGGGACGTTAAGAGGAGTTAGGGACGAACGAGGGATTGAAAATAGAGCCAGAAGGGGAGAAGAGGAGGAGGAGGAGGAGGAGGAGGAAGGGTAAACATCTGAAAAGGAGGAGCGTAACTGTCTGACATTACGGGACACTGCCTGTCCATAAATCTGTCCCACAACACTTTGCACACACACACTCTTATAGACACACACATATAACATCATATCCTCTGGTAACCCACTCTGTGACAAAGACAATCCAGGGAATTCCTCAAGTGAAAAAGACAAAGTATATAATGATGGGAAAGAAGGGTAGAAAAGAGCAGCAATATCACTTTTTTACAAGGCTTATTCCTGCCAGAGCTAGAGCTGTGTGTGTGTGTGTGTGTGTGTGTGTGTGTGTGTTTTATGTGACTTGCTTCTGCTGTTTTTTACAAGGCAGCTATGAAATATTTGTATTTACAGTCGTCTCCTATTAATCAAGCGGAAAGGGGCAGAGCAGAGGCTTAAGTGCTCGACAGCAGTAATCTAATAATAATATGTGAGAAATGACCAACCTCCAGTGCTGCCACAGTAAATTGGACATTATGCATGATGCTTTTATGCCTCTGTGTAAGTGTGTGAGAGTGTGTGTGTGTGTGTGTGTGTGTGTGTGTGTGTGTGTGTGTGTGTGTGTGTGTGTGTGTGTGTGTGTGTGTGTGTGTGTGTGTGTGTGTGTGTGTGTGTGTGTGCGCGCGTGTGTGTGTGTGTGTGTGTGTGTGTGTGTGTGTGTGTGTGTGTGTGTGTGTGTGTGTGTGTGTGTGGGCTTTCTCTTTTAGCCAGGTTTAAGAAGGTCAGGAATCATTTACCTGGGGGCCACATGGGAATATGTTTAAGTTTAATCATTAGAGTATGACATTTAACGGTGTCTGCACAGCCATTAGAAGTGAAGATCTTCCAATGAAATGAGGGTCTCTTAAACCAATCAATAACATCAACATGTAAAGAAGATAGGCTGCATTTCAATCTAAATCCAGGCAATTAACACATTTTGAAGTTCTAACTCCTTATTTGACTGAAATGACTGTGTGTTTTGGAGAAATAAAATCATGTTGTTTCGTGTGTTAATCAATCATAAAGGCATACAAAGAGGCCTTAAAGAGATCTTAATCTGTTCACATGCATATGAGATGATGTAGTATCCAACATGTGTGTCCCTATAGATATCACATGTTTTAGTCTGACCCAATCACCTTAGCGTAGAATAAATCATAAGTAGTCGCGTTTGGGTTAATCTCCGATGTAATGGGGGGCGGGGGGTGCATACGGCCCCAGCAGATCCCTGTGCTTCAGACTGGCCCTCTCCTCTCCAGCCTGCTGCTGAATATTAAACCACAGCGGGGAGATGCACAGTCACGGCCGGGGAGGGGGGTCTGAGCTCACCCCTGCTCCGTCTGCCTCTCTCAAGTACAAGCCCACCCACAGAGTGTGAGGGCTGCTGTCGGGTCAGCACCCAAAGGTGTGTGGGAATGAAAATGGGTCTCTTGAATCATTTTAGAGCTCCTTTGTTGCATTCATGTGCACGTAGGATGTTTTTTTAATCTGCGGTAGGGCATCTGACTTTGACATGGTCATTAGTCAGAATGAAAACAAACATGGAGTGTGATTTCAGAGGTTGGATTGAAACTTTGTGGAGTTACTTAACTGTTTTATAAAGTCACCATATCATGTTATCTATGTTAACAAGATACCTTATGAGCTGGCTTTTGCTCAAGTCAGTTTAATTTATAGTGTCCGAAACTACGCAATAGCAGGTTTTTAAAATGTGTACAACATTAAAAGCCCTTTTTAAAGACAATTGTCGTGTGTTATACAGGTTTCTGTGCATGTAAATGGTCTGCAAAGGCTAACATCCCACAGTTACCTCCAGAGGAAGTTTCTATCTCATAGGTTTTCAAAACCTGGCAGTTTGGAAGTCACATGTGGAGTAATTTCTAGATCCTCTGAAATGTGAGTTGGGGCTTTGAATCAAATCTACTATTTAGACATTATGTTACAGACATAGATAGGTCCTTTGTTCCTATGAAACCAGGGCGATCAGTGGATGCTGACACTATAAGGGAATGTCGAGTTGATGGAATCATAAATCTTTTCCCCCCTTTTCTGTCTGTCTGCATCTCTTCCTCTCTAATTGGAACAATCACAGTACAGTGCCTCTTGGCTCTGCTGCCTGCTGGACCACGGGAGACTGATACTTCTGTGTGTGTGTGTGTGTGTGTGTGTGTGTGTGTGTGTGTGTGTGTGTGTGTGTTAGAATGTGTGCAGGGTATAAGACAGAGGCCAGTACAGCTGATTTCTCCTTAGTGCAGCGGAGAGGAACAGAGGCATTGAAGAAACAGCTCTTACAGTACAGAACTACACTATATATCAAAATGTCCCTCTCTCTATTTGCATTTAAGGCATTTTTGATTTCAGCAGGTGGTAAAAGGCCAGTATTTCAAATGTAAACATGATTTACACAGGAATAATTTGAGATTCTCACCTTCGGGGTTCCTGGAGTGGCTGCTCCATCCTTGGGTGAATGGTTCTTACTGCAGGCGAGAAAATAGACAAACATAGGATGTAGTAAGTTCTTCATGGTATGCAGTGCAGTATAGAATCCCTTCTCCCATCGCTGAGATCTTGTTTTATCCTTAAAACAACACATGACATATTCTTTGGAAGGTTTGCACATGTATTCACTTTAATCCCTCGGCCTTCAACTGTCTTTCCTCCTTTTATCCATCCATCCATCTGTCCATCTTCTGCTACCCTATTTGATGGTAATTGAAAACATTACCGCTAATGGTAGGATTACTAGGAACATCAGCTGGATGTTCTCCACTGAGGCAATCATTCCTTTAGATTTGTCTCATCACACATGCACACACAAATCGCTTCTTTTTTTTGTGCGGTGGCAAAAGCAGGAAATAACTGATTTTGCCGTGATTTGATTTGCCAGTGCAGGCAGCCTGCGGTCGCTTTAACTCTGCAATATGCGGAGGACAATCGGCTGACTTGTAAATGTTATATGGAAGAAGGGAAAGAGAGGAGGGGGAGTACAGTAAAACAAAGAATGAAGGAAAGAAAGTAAGACACACATGTTCCAGCTGTTTCCTGTAGATAGATACATGTGTGACATTTTAGATAAGAGATGATCAAATCTATAATCTAGTCTCTATCCTGCAAATGAAACCGGCACATTAAACATTGTTACTTTATTTCAAATCCCTTTTCTGACACTGTACCCATCTGATACATTTACTCCCCCTCCTCAATTGATCTGTTGTTCCTTCACTTTTCTTCTGTTGACCTCTTCTCCTTCTCTTTGCTCTTTATCTGACTTTCCCTCTCTTAGCTTTTTGATGCGTGGCGGCAGGCTCCACGTTGACAAAGCGAGACAGGGTTGTCATGTTTGCATGGAGACCCTGTTAGCACCGCAGATCCCCTCGGACACGGAATTGAGCGCGACCTCTAATCTGACAGCATGCCCTGGTAGACAAGGGATTTCCCTTTTCAATGGCTGGATGGGTGGATAATAAGAATAGGAAGCCTTATTTATGTGTCACTTATCTGAGGGAAGATTGTACAAAGTGATGCACAGGAGCAAGACAAGGGGAATGTAAGACAGGAATATAATGCATAGCTGCACAGGGATAGGAAGGAATGTGTGATGAGATGGAGGAGGGGGAGTAGTGTGAAAGTATGTTTCTCTTTATACACAATATATGCTGTGGAGTGTTGCTCGTCTTTACATTTGTAGGGATTCAAACAACAAGTGTATGCCCTCACTATTAACAGAGTTCATGTGTTTACTTAGTGAGGAACTGAATGGCTTTTACAAAAACAAAGGTGACTTAATTAGCTATAGGGAATCACCCTGTGAAAAAGGATAGATACACTAATTTTATGCCCATATGAACACTTAAAGTGGACCTATCATGCTATATTTTAATAGTGTAGGACCATACCTATATAAGGCATATTTATACTTTTTTTTTTTTTAAATACCAAACAGATCATGCATTTTAGCCATGCCTCATTTCGCTCAATTTGCACTTTTTTAGCCCTGTTTTTGCAAGGGCTGATTCTATGAGAACAGCACCATCTACAGGCCTGGCATATGTACTACAGCGTCTCCAGCGCTTTCGAACGGCAATGGCCGTGGCTGTCTCCTCCTGATTGGTGGAGTTGGCCCAATAGCCGTAGCGCCACCGTCCTGACGTCAGGACAGTGTTCAAATCTGGATCAGTTTTTATCAGATCCGTTGCAGCCCCTTTTTTAGAGATTTGGGTATGGAGGAAAATAGAGAGGGTTGTGTTTTCTGACACTTGGTGAGTTCCCTGGAACACCGGGGACACATATTCATGTATAAAAGACGTACAAAAGTGCATTTTGCATGATAGGTCCCCTTTAAACAAGTTTTAGCCAACAACCTTACAGTCAGGATTGTTGTAGTATATGGCTGGCAGGCTCTAATCCTGTGCGACTGGATACTCTAGATCACTCTCAAATATACTGCACTGTTTTAGGGGAATAGAGCAGGATTTGGATATATAAATACTCAAACATCATTTTTGAGGTAAATGAAGAAAATGTCACCCAAAATGACCATTTGAATAACAATAACTCATCCCCTATTGAATTTGTGAATACAACTTTGTTAATCTCGCATGCGTACATGGTGAACCAAGATCCAAAATAGAAGAAATAGACATAGAAAATGCCTAAACATACCTGGGAAAATGTATCATTACGGCTTCTGCTGTGTGTGTACCTGCGTGCATTTACATCTGTATAGTCTTGCTACCGTGTGTGTGTGTCCTGTATATGTGTGTGAAAGCTGAACAGGAGCTTCACCTCCACCAACAAAGAGAATAAACACGGGTGACACAGTCAAGCTGCTGTGTAATGCAGGGGAATCTGCCAACACCCCCACCTGTCTCTCCCCTTTTCTCTCTCTGTCTCTGTCATCTCCCTCTCCCTCCATCTCTCTTTTATTCATTACCTGGAACCTCTGCAGAGGCATCAACAATAACAGCCACCTCTACCTGCTTGTTGACAGTGTCAAACAGCGACAAGAGAAGGGGGGGGGGGGACAACAGCCGTCGCATGCCTGCCACGATGGGAGAAAATTGCCACGATGACAGAAGGGGGTGATAGAGAGATGAAAGGGAGTGAAGAAGGGGGGGCGGAAGCAAAAAGAGGTAGAAGGAGATGAAATGTGAGGTGAGGGAGAGAGTGAGGTGAAGATGAAGGGAGACGAGAGAGAGAGAGAAAGAGAGGGATTGATGGGGGAGTCGGGGTGTCGCCGCCTCACTCTCGCAGCTTCACACGTCTGTTTGCCCGGTTCTATGAATTTTTGATGGGGAGGGTTATGGGGGCTGGATATTCCAGATGCCTGCCATGTCAAAGCAAGGAGGAGAGTGTGGAAATGAGCAGCACAGCAAAGCGAAACAAACACACAGACAGATGGGAGGGAAGGGAGGAAGGAAGAGGGGGGAGACAAAGCACTTTATAAATGTGTTGTGGTAATGAGGCCTGTGTGTGAACAGGGTGAGACAGGTGAGGGTGCTTTAAACACGTCTTACAACACGCTGTCCCCCCACCTCACACAGACCCCTCTCTGAACCTGTTTAACCTAAAGGAGGGGCGGAACCCTGTGAGGTCACGGACAAGACGTAGTCACCGGATATAAGGGAAAGGTGGAAAGAGATGTGACCGCTGACTAAAACACGTCAGGACATTTGAGATTATACTGTATTTATAATCAATTGATAAAAAAATTATGTTTTTATATTTAGACCATGATTTTATTGGTTGGTCCAAAAATATATGATGTAATTTCAAAGCCAGACATAGTTTTCATGTCCTATTTCAAACTATTAGAAAGGAAACTAAATAAAGAGTTTATTCTTTTCTATATACTGAACGTTTTTACATATGATTTTGTTAATACTCATCCATAGCCTGAGTCGTATAACATTTTATTTCTTAAAACATGGCAAAAGTAGACATTTTTTGAAGGTTGTTTACAGTTTTATATGATTTATGGATTAGAAGAGATATTTAAATTCCCTTTGTAAAATCCTAATTCTTTCAAATGTTTCAATAGATTTGAAAATGAATGAAAAAATCAAGGTAAGAAACAAAATAAGACTCTAAAATGTCAATTTTCCAATGAATCTGAACCGGTGAGCTGATCAGTAATTTCCCAGCAATTCCATTCAGTTAAACTGCCCATCGTCCCAACATCTGGTAAAATCAGCATCAATCATTCAGGTGGACAGACTGAGTTTGAGTGACAGCCAGTGGGCCCTCAGAGAGACAGAGGGATAAATAAGTCTCTTTTCACTGGGAGCTGGTGGAATGGATGGAAGGAGGAATGGAGGGATGGCGCTAACCTCAAGATACTGATTGCTTTTTGCCTTTTTGTGTCGTCCGCTGGAGAGGCGGGGGCTCGCTCTCATGGAGGCAAATTGATTATGGAGGAGGAGGAGGAGGAGGAGGAGGAAGAAGAAGAGGAGTAGGGGCATGAAGAGGAGGAGGGGCTTTCGGGGTATGTAGATTACTTTGCCCCCACGAGCCACCTGACGTTTACAGGGCATGATAGATTACCATTTGCTCAACTGTGTGTGTGTGTGTGTGTGTGTGTGTGTGTGTGTGTGTGTGTGTGTGTGTGTGTGTGTGTGTGTGTGTGTGTGTGTGTGTGTGTGTGTGTGTGTGTGTGTGTGTGTGTGTTTTCCATGTCCATACATGAGGAGCTGTGGCCCGTGAACAGGCGACACGGAGCACACATAGGAGAGGACAGGGTGGCAGTTGCAATCAAATACACATGCAGCGAGAACAGAGAGCAGGAATAAAAAGCAAATAGAAACACACGGAAGAACAGATATTCACAGAAGAGGACAGGCAGATATGGGACACACACATTTGTCTCAAACACACAAACACACACACCTTCGTTTCCATACCCACAGCTCTTTCATTCAGCGAGCGCTGGTCGTCATTAAAGGCAGATTTACTACAAATTGGACCAAATTCCCACTGTCACTTTCAATGATGGCTGCTACCATGCAGAGAGCCGGGGAGAGGGAGAGACAGTGTGTGTGTGTGTGTGTGTGTGTGTGTGGGATATAGAATCTGGTTTTGCGATATAACAAACACACACAACACTCTCTGCTTTTATTTTATCTCCCTCTTCCATTTCCTTTGCCTCCAAAGTCACACTAAGACATTTTTGTGTGAAGGAACATTTCTATCAAAAATATCTTTAAATGTTATCGCCTGCATCTCTATATCCTTCTTTTCCCCCTGTGGTGTGTGTATGAGTCAGATGGGTTAATGGCGAGGGGCTAAATCAGCCAGCCGTGACGTTAGCCACCATCCCATCTCTCCCGGGGATGACGCTATTTCCTTAAATAACCGCATTTGTGTGTGTGTGTGTGTCTGTGAGTGTGTGCTTACACAGTATCCCAGACCCACAGATGGAAGGGCAGACTACTAACCTTTATTAATTATTGAAACACACACACACACCTCCCCATATTAGACAATGATGGATGGATGACCCTCACTAAGCTCTCCCATGTTGTCTATTTGTATTTAGTTTAAATCTAGTTTCCATCTCAAAATCCACTTTTCCAGCCACATCTCCTGGCCTTTATAAAGACTCTAAAAAAGTGCACTCAGTTGGAGAATGCACAGTCGTTGGAATTTCGTCTAATAATATAAAATAATAGAACATTTCGTATAATAATGTAAAGTAACATTCTTGAAGATAAAACTTTATTTTGATCATAGTGTCGATGCAGTATATCTGTATTAACCATCTGTCTCAAATGCATAATTGTAGCGCATGTCCCTTTAGCCCTCCTTTGGAAAAGCAAAGTCTATTCTGATTGGCTGTGAGAAAAATGTGGCGCACCTTTGCAAAGGTAGTCCAAAAGATGTTGGTTGACAGACAGGGGCTGTATATTCTTATGAGCCTGCATGTGACAAAGGAAGTTCATTTAAGTCCAAATGGCTTGTTGAATATCATGTTTTTTTATGTAGGCATCTGATTTAACACTTTGTGAATTGGTAGTCACTCAAGACATCAAAATCTATGTTTAAGAGAACTTAGAAAATACGTTTTTTATGATTTCGTGTCAATTTTACCAAGTTTTTTAAGTCATCTTTACCAAATCTCCATTGATAAGCGAGCCAACTTAATCGGCTGAAGATTGAGACCTTTTGATTAACTCATTTTTTCCCTTTTTTATGGGTCACTTGTTAGAAGATGTCTGTCTCTGTAAAGTCATTTTGTTATAACTTTAAGTAAAGGAGGAATACAAATGAACCCGTTCGCACTGAAGACAATGGGTTCCCCCATGTCACTGCTTTGGTCTGATGTTTGCTCGCATCATCCAGAAACATCCGGTAATGGAGAGATGAGAGGACAGGTTAAGACTCAGACAGAGTAAAAAGAGATTTGGGTAAGAAACCTGGGACACTGAAGAGAACAGACGGGAGGGGGGGGGGGGGGTTGTGGGAGGTGTAAACGGGGGTAAATGAAGTGTGATTTCCACGCGGGGTGACGCTATCTGTTGCCCTGTTCCTCCAGGTTAATGGGGACTATCATAAAGCTGGGCCGCTAAGGTGGACACCGGGTCATACACAAACACAGTGTCACACAGGCTACACACACACACACACACACACACACACACACACACACACACACACACACACACACACACACACACACACACACACACACACACACACACACACACACACACACACACACACACACACACACACACACACACACACACACACACACACACACACACACACACACACACACACACACACACACACACAGGCGGTCAAGGTGAAATATGGATCCTAATGGTTGTGTCCCATCGTTAAAAGGGCTCGCAGTTGATTTATCCACCGTAAAACAGCTCGTGCAACTGCCATGAGGAGAGGAGGGGGGGGGGGGGCAGTGGACCCCAGGTCACAGGTTTGGATCCTAATCCCTGCAGGAAACACTTAGCGTTACGTCGTCCGCATGCCTCTGCCTTTTATGCAGATTTATGGCACCAAAAATCTCCGCTAAGGAAGAATAGCAGTCAGCCAGGCTGACATAAAAGCTGAGTTAAAGCTCAGCCTTCACCCCATGACTTAAAAAATACACATCTTTATGATCAATTGAAGTATTTGTCTGGAAGATTGATATCAGTTTGATTTGCAGAGATGTGTTAGCAGAAAGATGGAAAACAAGGGGGGGCATGTATAAAGTCAAATAATTTTAAAAAAATGCCTTAGAGGACCCGAAATAGTGATTAAGTCGAAATATGGGGCAAATATAACTTAAAAAACATAAAATAAAATAGGATATATTAATGTGACGGATAAGGAAACAGTATTTGCAACATTAATAAACTGGATGGTGTGAAGCTATAGTGTGTGTGAGAAATAGCACATGTATTTTAGTCGTACCTGAAGCATACGGCAGCTAGCCTCTCTATCTCCGTCTCCATGTGTTCCTGGAGCTCTCCGGGCCGGAGCAGCACCTGGCAGATGGGACAGACTGGAGCCTGGCTGTCATACAGGGACATCTTCTTTTTACCTGGAGAAAGGAAACAGGGAAAAAGGAGAAACGTCAGTATGTGCAAATAGTCATTCAGGAGCCCATCACCCACCTATTGTTTAGATATATTGCATCCAGATTGTGTCTTTCTCATCAAAAGTGGACATAGTCATGGTGAGGTCCCCCACTTGTTAGTGGACTTTTGGTTTGAAGACTTGAGTTTTTATAAAACATTAAATAAATAAATATTACAAATATTTTTACAATTCTTCTTCGATATCCTTTCCAGAGAGGCTCATATTCCTTGTCCAAATTGTTTGATCAAATGTACCCAACTGTGTTTGTCGTGCCACACACACTAATACACCCAAAGTTGACCTGACAGCCCTTCAGTTTTCCAAGGACACTTAAGCAGTATGTGTATTCTTGCGTGGCTTGAACTGTGGATTTACTATCTCAAAACACACGCATTAAGTGCATGTGCATTATAATTCTGCTTTACACACCGACGGGAAAGGGAATAGAGTGCTGCACAGTCTTCACCGTGTCCTCTCAGGTCAAACCAGATTTAAAGAAGTGTCAGCACTGGATGAGATAATGCTGTATAGAGTCTGCCAACACTACCTCACTTCATTGTCCTTGATCAGCAGGGCACAGGGTTGGGCCCACCTGTATGTGTGTGTGTGTGTGTGTGTGTGTGTGTGTGTGTGTGTGTGTGTGTGTGTGTGTGTGTGTGTGTGTGTGTGTGTGTGTGTGTGTGTGTGTGTGTGTGTGTGTGTGTGTGTGTGTGCATGTTTCAATGTGTCGGTCGGAAAGTGCGTACATTTTCGTTGCATGTTTTTTTGATGTGTTGTTATAGTATTGTTATTTACATCCTACTTTCTTAAGTTTACCTTTGCGTGTGTGTTAGTTAGCTTAAAATAAAATCCATTGAAAGTGTCTGAGCGCTCAATGTTGGAGGACACTTCCTGATTTCCTGTATTTATCCAATCAAATGGGCTTTTTTTAGTCCGGGAACAAAAGAGTCCGCCTCAGCCAGGATATCCTGTTTAGACTGCTTGTCACCACGGCAACAGGAGGACCAGGTAAGGGGGGACCCCCTATCTGTCTTGTCTTTGGTGGTTCTCGCTCACACACAAACACACACACATAAAAATGCACACAAAGCTCTCCGGGGACACGTATCCTTGCTCACATATTGGTATGTCAGAACAGTTTCCTGCGAGTGAACTCATCAAGAGACAACTAGTGGGGAACACACACACACACACACACACACACACACACACACACACACACACACACACACACACACACACACACACACACACACACACACACACACACACACACACACACACACACACACACACACACACACACACACACACACACACACACACACACACACACACACACACACACACACACACACACACACACACACACCCCCTCCCCTCTTTTTCAGAGCGTGTGTGTGCATACCGGCCTCCCATTCTCCTGCATCGCTACTTAACAGAGCCACAGCACTGGACACGTTAAGTGACTTTGAAAAATAGGTAATCGATTACTCTCTATCTCCCCCTCTGCCTCTCTACCTCTCTCCCCCCCCCCACACCTAACCCGTCTCCTTCCCTCCAGCCTCATCCATTTCTAATTTTCTGCTCCCTACCATCCATTTATTTGTTTCATTTCTTTCTCCCTCTCTCTTCTATCTCTCATCTCCTTTCTGATTATTTCATTGTTCACTTTTCTCGCTTTTCTCCTTTTTCGTGTTGCTCATCTCTTCTTCTCTGCTTTGTCTCCTCCACCACTGCACTCCCCTTCCACTATATCCCCCCCTCTCTCTCCTTGTTTCTCCATCTCTCTTTCTATCCCCCCTCCCCTTCTCTCTTCTCCCCTTTATTGCTTTGACAAGATAATTTGAGTCATGCTGAAGCCGTCGCCATCCGCCACAGCAAACAAAGACAGATCCAATCCCTGTCTGCAGCTGATGGGGCTCTTTCTATTCCACAGACACACACACACACACACCTGGAGGACACACACACACACACCTGGAGGACACACACACACACACACACACACCTGGAGGACACACACACACACACACACACACACACACACACACACACACACACACACACACACACACACACACACACACACACACACACACACACACACACACACACACACACACACACACACACACACACACACACACACACACACACACACACACACACACACACACACACACACACACACACACACACACACACACTGATGCCCGTTCTTCATTATTTTAAGTTTGTAGCTTTTGGAATGTAAAAAAATGTTATGTTTTTATAAAGCAAATGCGTTTCAATGTGCAATGATTTTCCTTTTGATTGTGGAATGTTCTGCCTTGATGTGACTTTTATTTGCGTTATTAAAAAGAAAAAAAGCAATGAAAATAAATGTAGAGGCATGGGTGTGACAACACAATGTGGACAATCAACAAAAGGAAAAAGTGGAGCAGTGTTGTGTAAAGTCTATTCAGCTGTCTCAGAACAGGCACAATACCAAACCGTCTCCTCACTGCAAACACAGAGGACACAAATTGAACTTGCTCTGATGTGACGGAACAGGTGGAAATTTAACAGCAGTTACAACTTTATTGTCCACCAGAGTGGGGAATTACGTTTAGCCCACTATAACACAAAAACATGCAAAGATCTAGAAACTAAATGTGGTTAAAAATGGCAAAATAATGTATGAATCGCGATACACGTGTAAAAATGGAAAAAGATTACGTAAAACATTGGCAAAAGTCGAGAAATATTTTACTCAGATTTAAGAGTTGAAAATGCACTCTGCACTTTTAAAATGTAAAAACTCAGATTTTTTAGTTTTTATGCTAAATTAAACTGTTAATAATAATACAATCAAAGGAGTCAATCCGTTTTTATTTCTCTCCTGTTCTCTATTTCCTTCTGTTTTAAACTTGTGTGATGTCACCGTCTTTCACCCCTTGTGTTGCTTCCTTTTTCTCCCCCTATATTTATATTCCTCCATCAAATGCTCCCTGAGGGAAGTGAGTGACGGGGGGGGAGGCGACCGGACAGATAAATCCACGGGAGAAGAAGAAGAAGAGGGAAGAGGAGAAAGGGGGGGAGGGTTGTTGATGTGATGTGATGTCGCACACCAGACTTGTCAGCGCCTTAAAGATGATTAATGTCGAGGGCAACACACACACACACACACACACACACACACACACACACACACCTACGCGCACCCCACATGTCCTGCTTTGGACCTCACACACACGTACACCCTGAGGCGCAACACGGGTGCGTTTAATCTCCGGGAGCGGAGGGAAGGTATCGGAGTCAGGAGGGGTGGGGAGGAGAGGGGTGGGGAGGAGAGGGGTGGGCGATAACAAGGAAATAGGCCTGACAGGACTTTTTAGCGTTGAGATTCTTCAGAGAAATGCCGGCCGGCGGAGCGAACGAGGGATGGATGGATGGAGGAGAGGAGGTGTGGATCCGTGTGACAGCCATGATGGAGTGCAGGCTTGATCCCCCCCTAATGTGCCAAGATGGATTGTCTCATCTCTCTTTCTCTCTGACTTTCTCTCCCTACCATCTTCCTCTTTTGCTACCTTTACCTCTCGTTTGTCTGATTCCACCCTTTTGTTCCTCTCTTCTTTCCTTTCCCCATCTCTTTCCCCATGTTCCCTCCTTTTTATCTCAGTAACCTGATCCACTTATTGGCCCTCTCTGGTTTTTGTTCCTGTCACAAAACAATATCCAATAACTGGCAAGAAGCACTGACTTTTGTATCTTATGTCTGATTGATTTACTGGCTGCTGTAGCACTGACACGGACACTTTGGATGGTCTAAACTCAATGGAAAGAGTTCAGCACCAATCCCAGATCAAAACACATGAACGTCCATTGCCTTTAAACATGTTTTTCAGTTTAAAATCATCATCATCAAGCCAGTTTGTTCAAGAAGACCTTAGATCTCCAGAGTTAGAGTTGCATTTCTCTATAAATAAATGAGCTTAACTAGACTTCATGAAAACCAGTCCAAAAGTAGATACACAATATTAAAAGCTACACTTAACATGAGTTAAGTTATTTAACTAATGTTATAATGAGGATTCACACAACAGGTAATTATAGAGAACAGATTGTAAGGCGGAGAGAGCTCGATCATATGGAAGAGTGGAGAGCAGAGAGGAGGAATCTTCTATCCCTCCTTCATTTGCATTTGTATTGCCTGACATTTCACCTTTTTGCTTTCGTCCTAGTATTCTGACTCTACTTCCCTTATGACCCTACTTTGGTCATTGCACCCACTCCTCCTATTTGCCTTTAATGGTCATTTCCTTAAGTTTCTATCCTCATATTTGTCACGATCTGTCTGTGTTGTGTTTTGTCTTGTCTTGATCTGTCTTTGGTTTCCTGTTTTATTTTGAAAGGTGTTCACCCCCCCCCTCCCCGTCTTGCCTGTTGCTTCCTGTCTCTGTGTTCCCTCCTGCCTGATTGCCCGATTGTGTTCACCTTGTGCCCCTGTGTTTTCTCCTCCCGCCTCACCTGTGTCTTGTTTGTGTGATTAGTCTTGTGTGCATTTAAGTTCTGTTTTTTCTGTCTGTCATTGTTAGATCCTTGTTTGCCTTTGACTGTGTTCACGGGGAAGAGATCTGTATGTTACTATTTAGCCTTGAAATAAAGGTATTTTCTGTTTATTCTGCATTTGGGTCCTGCCTGCTTCACTCAACCCTGACAATATTCTTCTTCCAGCCTATATTTACTAAACCTGCTGAGAAGGTTATGTTTCTTTGGTTCAGTGTGTTTGTGTGTTTGTCAGCGGGATTATGGAAAAACGGGCCTAATTTCCTGAAACTTGTAGCATTGGCCAAGGAAGAACCCATTACATTTTGTGGCAGATGGCAATGAAGTTGTTGATACACACAGTCTTTTTCATGGATATAAATGGCTTTCTCTGAGTGCCCTTCCTTCTCAAACAGGTTTTTTAGGATCTAT